CATCCAGTCGATTCCAACTCACGGCGACCCTATAGGACAGAGCAGAACTGCCCCATAGAGTTTCCTAGATCGTAATCTTTATGGAAGCAGACTGCCACCTCTTTCTTGCTCCTCTGGAGCCGCTGGTGGGTTCGAACCACCCACCTTTCTTTCAGTTAGCAGCCGAGCACTTAACCACTGCGCCACCAGGGCTCCTTTCGTGTAACATATATCAGTGTAAATTGTAATAAGTGTAACGAAGAAAAGGTTTTAGTATATTCCCTTTGTCATTTTTCTGAGATTTGATTGAATCTGTGTTTAAGTTAAAGTTACCAACGTTTCTCTTCCCTGTCTCTAATTTAGATCTACTGCGTTACGTAAATGCAACAAACATGAGTGTTGAACATCTGGCTGATATCCTCACCGCCCAAACTCGGGGCAGCAGCTGGGTGGTGGTGTTCAAAGCCCTGGTCACGGTGCATCACCTTATGGTGCACGGCAACGAGGTGAGCGTGGCGTATGTTCCCGTGGTAGTCAGTCATTCCCTTCCTGGTGGTACAGAGGACTGTGAGTACTCAGTCGCAAAATGGTCTGGGTTTGTCAAGGACTTGCTACCTTTGACTTTCATTGGCGACAAGTAGGGGGAGTGAATAGCAGTATGTATTAGAAGAAAACTGGTTTATTTTTCCTTTCTGGTTTTATTAATGACTATAGCTTTGAGATCAGTTTCCACTGAGGTGTACCATTTTAGCCACTGATTCCCTCAGTTCTTTAGCTGATTTAGAACAACAACAGCAACAACAAAAACTCAGAAATGTATTACCGCCTAACAGCTTTACTTTGCCAGGGGAGACTGGCCACCTCTCCCCACGTAACGCACACCCTTGGTATTTTGCAGAACTGAAATGCTGTATGACGTTATTATTTTCTATTTTAAATACACATTTTGTCTCAGTAAGCTTTGCATCAAAAAAAATGAAGGTTGAGAAATTGGCTGATTTTGAAACTTGTAAAGCAACAGTAATTACACAGGCTGGTATTGGTAAAAATAGAACATAAATATGAATGGAACATAATAGTGAACTCAGAAAGAGAAAATAGAACCGTACTGATATGGAAGCTTGATGGGACTACAAACATGTGGGGGAGAGTATGAAATTTAAACTAAAGCAGCCCAAATGGTATCCCTCTGAAGAGATAGAACGAGAGCCTTAGCCTATGTACCAAGATACATTCCACATGGATGGAGTACCTGACTGAAAAACTAACATTTAAAATCATTTGGGAAACAAGAAAAGGGCACTGAGGCACATCTAGTCAGACTGAAAATGCCCAGCCCAGTGACCCAGCAAATCCATCTCTCACAATATGTTTAGAGTAATAAAAAACTAGAAGTCACCTAAGTTCCCATCAGGAGGCAACAGATAGCCAGATTGAGGTGTGTTTATACGATGAAATATTGTATTACATTAAATGGGATATATACCAACAGGGCTAGATCTCAAAAACAGTGCTGAGAGAGAAAGCAAGTTGCAGAATGACATTTACGTAATTTCTTTTTTTGAATACACACTTGCTATTTGTCCGTGGGACAAATATGTGTGCAACCATACAGAAAATAGACTGGAAAGATAACACGTGAAAACTATGATACCAGTTACTGCTTGGTAGGAAAAGAAGGAAATGCAGCTTGCGGCTAGGGCAAAGAGCCCTTTATCTGTAATGCTTTATTCCTCTTGTTTTACAAAGTAGGCTTGAAGCAAATATGTCAAGACGTTCACAGCTGTCATTTCTGAGTCGTGAGGTACACAGATGTATCCTATCATTCCTTACATTATTCTGAAATTTAAAATTTCTTAAAGTCAAAAAGTCGGGAAATGGCTAAACAGAAAAGTCTGAGTGGAGGGAAAGATCGTGTATTCACAAGAGCTTTAATATTTAACCTCTTGTCTATTTGGGGGTTATATAAACAGAGGAGCGTTGACTGCATTGCCAAGCCTTATCCTGGGTAGCCCAGGATATGATGGCGGTCAACTTAATCAATGCTCCTGAAAGAAATAGAAGCCGTCCGATAGAATTGTTAAACGTGTTCCATAATGACAAAATCATTAATGAACTCTATTTGTGTACAGAAACTAATTTTTAGAATTTGCTGCATTTGTTTGACAGCGTTTTATCCAACATCTTGCATCCAGAAGCTCCTTGTTCACTTTACACAAGTTCCTGGATAAAAGTGCCATAGAGGGTAAGATGATTCTTTGATGAAACACGTCTCTGTGGCAAGGAGGGAAAAGTTCTGAAAACCATGTCTGGTTTAAAAAAAAAAAAGGTTCTAAATTGTGAAGGTATGGTGTATTGTACATTTTAGGAAGGTAAAGAATCCTTAAATTCATTGAAACAACAAATATTTGAGTGCTTACTAAGGATAAAAGGATATGCTACGTGCTAGAGGCAGAGCAGTTGATGAGACATGTCTGTCTGATTTGGAAGACAGATGAAGAAGCAGGCTGTTTGAATACGACATGGTAATAGCCACGATGGGGCACCTAACCAGTCTGGTCTCCTTGCTGTTCCTCAAATACAACAAGCACATCCCTGCCTTAGGGGCTTAGCACTTGCTGCCCCTTCTTCCCGGATTGCTGTCCCCGAGCCATTCACTGGCTCCCCACCTCACCTCCAGATCTTTACTCAGGGAGGCCTTCCTTGCTCAGCCCATTCTTTGTGTAAATTTTATTCTTTCCACTTCCCACCACCTAACCTTCTCTGTGTTTTCCTTTTCTTTGAATTGGAACGTAAGCTCCTTGAGAGCAGGGATTTTTATCTGAACTTTCAGTCCCTTGGACAATGCCTGGCTGCTAGTAGGTGCTCAGTCATTGTTTGCTGAATGAATGAATGAATGAATGAGTGAGTGAATTCAATAAATGAATCAAGGTACATTTGTAGGTTGGGTCGTGGGAAGCTGAGTTTCCACCATGGCCTTTCTCAGTTATCTCCATGAAGTAGGAGGCAGGGTCATTTGTTGCGTGGAGAGGGTTGTGTGGGAGGGATGTTGGCAATGGGACGGGGGGTTTAAGGAGAATGCTAAGAATTTACAGTAGTTTCTGTGGAAATGGTGAAAGAGCGGATAAGGGTCAAGTATTTCCTCTGTTTGGGGATGCCACAATCAAAAACACCATTACAGGGTAATATCAAAGCTTTGAAGAAATAAAAAATCATCTTTAACAGAAAGCGTGGGGGGATTTTGGACTAGATTAATAAAGGCCGTTCTGGCTCTTGTGCTTCAAACGTGTTTTTGAGGTATACAGTTGAACGTGCAATGATAAGTGTTGACGTATACTGTAGATAGTTAATATTGGTCCAGTTGGAAATAACGGAACATCTCTTGTTTAGGTTATACAATGTCAACCTTCATCAGACGATATAGCAGGTACTTGAATGAGAAGTCACTGGCATGTAGACTAATTGCATCTGACATCACCAAAGCCAAGAGAGGGTCAGTAAATACCATTAGTTTGTAAGCAAGAAATACTGAATTACACACGCGGTGTGATATGCCCTTTGTCAAAAGCAGCGCACCGCTCTGTTTCAAAATGATGGTGTCACAGCGCTTCTTAAACACTTGATTACTGGTGTTTGTGGATTTCTTTTCTCTCTTATAGGATAGACGGTATGATGAGGACCATGAATACTAAAGAGCTACTGAACACGCTTCCGGTAATTCAAATCCAGCTTGACGCTCTTCTTAATTTTAACGTAAGAGCTTCGTAAACCCTTTTAAACAGTATTGGTAAATTGTATTATTTAATTACCGGTGAGAGAAAGAATTGTCCTAAACTGTGGTGGTGATTGATGACGCTTTTATTTAACTTTCAGGCAAATCCCGACCAACTCACTAATGGAATAATACACGCTGCTTTTATGCTCCTGTTTAAGGATTCTCTTCGGCTCTTTGCAGCTTATAATGAGGGGATCATTAATCTTCTAGGTAGGCCAAACAGTAAACATTACTTTCTAAAAAACGAAATGGTAGAAATAATTTCTACGTGAAAATCTTTTAGACTCACATTTGTTTTAGACTCAGAATAAAAGATCCTTGCGGGGTCATGTATGTTTTTAAATAATGAGACGCTATATTGCTTTTTGATTAGAAATTATTTGGCTAGTTAGCCACAGAGTTTTTCCATTTCTGTCGATGTGCTAACTGATATTTCTGGGAGAGTCACCAGGGAATCCACATGGGTTGCCGTACTGATACATTACACATTAACACCCACTGATACCAAGATCAAATAAAACAGCAGTTCTGGCTTTCCTGAGAAGATGTAGCCTATAGCATAAGTAATTTTTATTGATTATATATAAACATATATTCCTTAGTCTTTTCAGGAAATTTCTGTGATCATTTAGTCCTGATGAATGGTTCATTTCATGGAACAGGGTCTCCAAACTTTATTGATGGAAATTTTAGGTCTTTTTGTACGTTGAAGAAGTACCTAGTACACTCGTGAGATTATAAAAGAGTAGGAAACACAGCCTCTCCCCTCGAAGAGCTTCAGAGTTTGCTGTTCATCAAAAGTGACTATAAGCTACAAGTTGTAGAAATTAAAACCTCAACTATTTGTGTGTGCTGTTCAGTTCCGTATATACCGTATCCCCAGCACCAATGTTTGGCACGCAGTAGTTACTCCGTAAAAATCTGTTGATTATATCGATTGAGAAATCCTGGTGGCGTAGTGGTTAAGAGCTACGGCTGCCAACCAGAAGGTCGGCAGTCGGAATCCACCAGGCGTTCCTTGGAAACTCTATGGGGCAGTTCTACTCTGTCCTATAGGGTCGCTATGAGTCGGAATCGACTCAACTGGACGGCAGTGGTTTTTTATACTGCCTCCGGAGCCCTGGTGATGCCGTGGTGAAGAGCTCCCTCCGGCTGCTAACCAAAAGGTCGGCAGTTTGAATCTACCAGCCACTCTTTGGAAACCTTATGGGGCAGTTCTACTCTGTCCTGTAGGGTTGCG